TCCAAATGCCGGCGGTCTGGGGGCAGCAGGGGTCACATCTGCCCAGTCTACAGGAGTTCCGGGCCTGGGCAGGTGTTTTCCGACACGATGCGGTACCAGTGCTCGCGAGCCAGCCGCCGGGCGTTGGCCAATCGACGGTTGGCTTGGTAGTGCGCCGGGCAGTGGGACAGCTCACCAGCCTCGGGGCCCGTGGCGCTCTGGGCCCCCTCGATCGACGTGTGATCGGCAGCCGTGTCGGGACAGGCCCATTCGAAGGGGTCACCGGTCCGACGGCGCTGGCCTGGCTGCACACCGGTGGCCAGGCCCTCCTCCAGCCGGGCCTGGCCGAGCAGGGCTCGGCGGCTCACCAGCAGCGGTCGAGCCTTGGACAGGAGACGCCCTCCGGCCTCGGAGCCGGCCCAGCGGCGTATCCGATCCACATAGTGGGCTTGATCGATGGCGGTCAGCCGGACCGAGTCCAAGTCCCCAGGCCGGACGCCATCCAAGCTGTCCAGTTGGCTGATGTGGTGGCAGATGGCGGACCCGTCCGCCGACCGGGCCAAACGCCGGCCACCCGCGCTGGACCTGATGGGCGACCGGTCGCCGGCCGCGGGTCCGGCCGTGGAGTCCAATGTGTCCTGCCCGCTGGGGAAGGGGAAAAGCAGGGAAAACTCCTCGCGATAAACCAGCTGCTCCAACTCGATGGTGGCCACTCGCCGTGGCGTCAGTGGCACCTCTCGTGGGCCGATCACCCAGGGGAAGAGCGCCCGCTCGGAGCAGCCGTCCACCTGGAAGGCCGTCGGACCGTCTGGCAGGGGCAATGAGGTGGGCGTTAGATAGACTGGGCGGCTTGCCTTTTTCGATGGTACTCAAATCCATCCTCGCCTGCCCCGGCCCCCTCCGCCCCCCCCTCTGTCACTTGATGGCGTTGGAGCAGGGGCCCGCCGCCGCTGACCGGGCAACCGGCATCCCACGCACCATCTGCCCAGCGAATGAGCTCCAGGCTGACGGCCATGTCCAGGCCCTGCCCATCTTCGGGCCCGTTGTCCGTGACGTCCAGGCCGAAGTGGCGCTCGGCATCCAGGCGCCAAGGCCGGAAGCCGACCGGGGTCAGCAAGCCGGCCCGCGCCCGGCGCCGGTGCTCCTCAAAGGTCAATGACCGGCGCGCCTCGAACCCAGCAAGCACCGGGACCGGGGACGCGGTGCGCCATGCCTGGTCGCTGGTGGCTTCGGCCTCCGGGTTCCCCGGGGCCGGTGGGGCTCCGGCCGTCGGCTCCGGGTCTGGCGGGGTCATGTCCTCCAGCAGCCAGGCGTCCACATCGGCCGAGAGGATCAACCCCGTGGCGGCTTCCTGGCGCACGGCTTCCCGAACGTGCACGGCCGGCGGGGGGAAGCGACATCCTTTGCAATCGGCGTCCGGCGTCACCACAGGGAACACCCCGACCACCGACAGCCGGCCCATGTCGGCCGCCGGGACCGCCTCAAGTAGGGCCTGGTAGAAGTCCCGGGACAGCTCGGCCACCGAGCGCTGGTACAAGACCGCATCGCGGTGGGGAGCATTGTCCACCGGGGCCCGGGGGCCTCCGGCGGCGCGCTCCTGCGCCTCGACCCACAGCTCGAGGATCCACTCGGGCGCGTCATCCGAGGGGAGACCGCCGGCCTCGACCAGGGCGTCCTCCGCCTGCATACGGTAAATGACGCGCTTCCGACGAACCAGGTCCATTCGGCGCTGGATGTCTTGGACTGTGAAGGGGACCCCCACTGCCACCGGCCCCGGCCACATGGCCAAAAGCCGCAAGATGTCGGCACTGTCCTCCGGCGAGCGAATATTACTGACGAATGTCACTCGGTCCAGGTGCTGGTGACTGCTGAGCCACCGAGACTCGCTGACCGGCGTGCCGGCCGGCTCCAAGTTACTCGGTCGCAGGATGGTGATCTGCAAGCATGGCCATTGCCCGGGTGTCATGGTGGTGTGCGGGCGCAATGTCAGTTCCGGCCGAGCATCAGTGCTGCCGGCCACGCCAGCCCAGGCCAGACCCAATCAGATCAGTTTGCTGACCTTCCCTGCTCCTTTCTCTCTCTCTGTGTGTGTCTTTCTCTCTCTCGGTGTGTGTGTCTCTCTCTCTCTTTAGCTCTCCCTCTCTTTAACTCTCTCTCTCTCTCTCGCTCTCTTTCTCCATCTCGTAAAACTGACAAGCGGAGCCAGTGGAACATCGATGGAACAAGGCAGAGGACCAAAGGCGTTTCGAGAAGAGGTGTGGCATCCATACCTGCGTGAAGCCACACCAAGGCAAAGCGCGACGGCCAGTCGGCGCGCGGCCCACCGGGGCCATTTGAGCCACCATGGGAGTCACACCCGCCGGGCTGATGAGGTGCCGGAGCTGCACCGCCAGGTGGGCCACCGAGGACCAGATGCCCGAATCGCCGCCGGCGGCCGCCGAGTCGCCCGCCCTGGCCAGATTCCCCAGCGCCATGGCCAGCTGCTCCAAATACTGGCCTTGCTCCGAGGCCGAATGCAATCGGGGGGAAAAAAGCCCGCGGCCGATGGCGCGACCGGGCGCCGCGTCGCCGTCGCTCTCGCCGGACGCCTGTATCAGACCATGCCAAAGGACCCCATCACGGGGAGTGCCGCCAAGCAGCACCGGGAAAAAGCGTCCGCCAGTGACCGGCGACGGCAGCAAGCGTCCCATGGCCTCGGGTGTGCTGCCCGCCAGGGTGCCGAGCCGGCGCCGGAGCAAGCCCAGGAGCGCCTCCGAGAGGGCGCACAATTGGTGCACATGCCCGGTGTCCAGCGGGTCGCTCACATGTGCCTGGCCAATGCGCCCCTCGATCGGCAGCAGGGACAGGCGCAGCAGCCGTGGCGAGGTCGTCGATCCGGAGGCATCATCCCCCCAGAAGCCCGGCCCCGGGCAGGGGGCCCATGCCACGGTGACGCTATTCATGTTGTGGGCTGCCGAGCCGGCATCCGGCGGGGCGGCCCGCGATGCGGCCGAGCCCATCTCCATCATGGCATCCGGCCCTGCCTGGATCGAGGCCGTCGAGACAGTAGCCACGGGCCGAGTTTCGCCCGGGTCCGTGGCCGGGCTGCTCTCCACCCGTGAAGGGGGAGCCTCGGTCACCGGGGTGGCGGCCAGCTGCGCCGCAAGGTCCGGCAAGGCCTCGTACGAGCGCAGGGGCGACCCGCCGGCGGATCGTGTCCTGCCTGCCGGGGCCGGCTCATCGGCATGAAGCAGTCTCTCTGAGCGCCGGCTGATCACCGGCGGGGTGACCCAATCTGCGACCATGACGCTGGATATCCCGAGCACCGCCAGAAAGAGGAGGGTCCAGGCGATGCGCAGGCGTGCATCGTACCGCCAGCGCAGCAGCCACAGCCGGCTGTTCTGCCAGTGCGAGCGAGGCATATCCACAAGGGCAGGTGTCTGTCTAGGGAATATCTAAGTGTGTGTGTGTGTGTGTGTTTGCGTATGTGTGGGTGCGCCTGGCAGAGAGGCCGCCTCTTGTGGGCTCCCTTGCGACGGCGCACGGTCGTCCTGCCGACAGTGCTTTGGCAGGCCCGGGGAGCAAGGGAAGTGGTGGCGAGGTGTGATGGCTGCAAGAGACACAAGGCAATTGAAAGCCCCCCAAGGTGGGCTGAATGCGTGTGCGTGTGGAAGAGGGGAAGGTGGCGCAATGTCTCTTTTTGAGGGGTCAGGAAAGAAGACAGAGCGGGCATGGGAGAGGAGGCTGCCCGGAAAGCCGCCGCCAGCCAGCCAGACGTGGTGGCTTTTGGTCTTTCCATCTTCGCCCTCTTTCCGTTGACCCCAACTCGCGCTGTCTTTCTCTTCTTCTTTCGCCCGCGCGCGCTCTCCCTGGGTCTCGGTCTCACCCCACCCCTCAGCAAGCCTCCCTGTCGCCTGCTTCCCCCGTCCCCACCCTCCACCATGGCCTGGATCCCGCTGACTTGCGATGCCCGCCGGATTTGGGGGGCCCTTTCTGCCAGACCGGTCGTACTTGTGGACTAAGTCCGAAAAAAACGAGACAGGCGGCCCGCTGCGGTTCTTCCTCGCCCAGGTGCTGGACACAATAGAAAGTCCGGCGTTTTGGTTAATTTCCACGTCTTCCTTCTGCCCCGTTCACCGAGTTTCCCCCCCCC